GTGCTGGGATTACAGGCATGTGCTACCATGTCTGACTGCCAATTACCTATGATTCTGATTCCCCCAATATAAGAGGAACCCCAAGAGTTTGCTGGGTGCTCCTGGACATTTTGCTGACTATCTTCTGTATTTTCAGGACCATGGTGGTACAGGACGGGACGGCTGGATAGTGGACTATTTCCACATTTTCGGGCAGGGACAGCGGTACCTCAACAGGAGAAACTGGGCAGGGGCAGGTAGGCATTATCTTGCTGTGCAAATGTGGCGCCTGGGGGGGGGAAGAGGGTGTGGCCCACAGTTCAGAGAAACCTGGAGAGGCCAGATGTGGGGCATGAGGCACAGGGGCCGCATCCCCCAGGCCTTTCCTCTCGCTGGGAATGGCTGGTGCCACGGCTCTCGGAATATTTTATTATTGAGCACCTACTGTCACATAGCTTTTACCCTCATGAGAGCCTGTGGCACAACTAGGGTTGGAATTCTTTTCTGTCCTCCCTAAAGCACATGTCCCAAGCCAGGTGTGGTGGCACATGCCTGTAATCTCAGCATTTGGGAGGCTGAGGCAGGAGGATCCTTGTGAGTCTAGGCTATAGAATGAACTCAAGGCCAGTCTTGAACAGGAGACCCTGTCTCAAAACAAAACAACACAGCCTGTTTCCTGGACACTACTCCCTGAGCAGGAGGCGTCTTGCTCATTTTCCTGGCCCAATTTAGCAAGAGTGGGGAGGGTCAGGTGGAGAGAGTTTTTGGCAGGACCCCCTACCCCAACTCCGCTGCCCTTTGACCATGTACTGGTCACATGATGTGGTCCCTCATCTGGCCCAACTGATCTCATCCCCTTCCCTGAGACAAGGTGAGGGTGACGATCTGTCATGTCTCCCAGGTTTGGGGCAAGTTCAGCCATGCCCCATGTCTCCGCCTTTCTTGTCCCAGTACCTGTCATTCCCTGGTGCTGTTGGACTAGTCTCAGGGTGTGGGATTTGCTTTATGGGGCACCTCTGACTCCAGCACTTCCCCAACTCTGGGGTTTTTAGTGAAGAGGCTCATGCCTTTCAAGGAAGGAGGTTTGGTTTTGAGACAGGGTCTCACTGTGTAGCGCAGGCTGGCCTCAAACTCATGGCAATCCTCCTGCCTCAGCCTCCCGAGTGCTGGGATGGTAGGCACACGCCACCCTGCCTCACATGACAAGTGCTAGTCTGCCATTCCTGGCAGCCTGTGGGAGTGGGGAAGGCAAAAGGGCACTGCCTGTAGGTTCAGCCTCCCTTCTTGTCCCCAAGGGCATTCCCTCCAGCAGGTGACCGGCCATGACTACTACAATGCCCATCCGAAGCTGGGCCCTGGGCTCAATGGCCGGTTTGGCTACCGTAGGAACACCCCGGCCCTCCGCCAGCGGCCCTCGGTGTTTGGAGAGGTCACCCCGTTTCCTCTCTACTGACAGCACTGCTGCCCTTCTCAGCCCTTCAGCTGCATTTCTTGGACAGAGGCTTAGAGGAACTCTCAATATTATTTTATATTAAAGTTCTGTTTGTCTCCCTGTGTGCTGTATTTTTTTGTTTATCTGTTTTGTAGCGGAGGGGTTTAAGACACAGTCTCACTATATATTATAGGCAGGCCTCAAACTCAGCGATTCTCCTGACTCAGTCTCCTGAGTGCTGGAATCACAGGTGTGCACCACCACACCCAGGAGGAAGAATACTTCCTGTTTGTTTTTTTTTTTTTTTGTACCAGGAATTGACCTCAGGACCTTGCTCTTGCCAGGCAGGCACTTGTGCCTCTGACTTCCTACTTGTTTTACACCCTAGTCCTAGGAACGAGCACAACTCTCATCAAAGTGTTCGCCCAAATGTCAGCAGGGCTCATGTCAGAAGCTGGCTACTGTTTCCATCCAAACAAAGGAGGCAGGAGGGCACAGGGATTGGGCCTTGGTTGCCCCAGGAAAGATTTCCTGAGTTTTTCTGACACATGGAATTATCCCATCCAAAAAACTGACATCTCAATAGGGGGTGGTGGCACATACCTGTAATCCAGAGGCTGAGGCAGGAGGATCTCCAGGAGTTCCATGCCAGCCTGGGCTACAAAGTGAGTTCAAGGCCACTCTGAACTACACAGTGAGATTCTGTCTCAAAAACAAACAAAATAAAACAAAACAAAACCCCAAAACCATGAAATCTCATTTTTTTTATCTTCAATTCATAAAGGGGTAGGAGGCAAGATTGAAACCAGGGTGCTATTAGCCCAGGGATTCTGACACAGAGCCCACAGCACTGCTTCTGCTGTCAGTTTTCTTCTCAGCTAGTGTCCAGGATGTCACAAGGTGTCCCCACCCACTTTATGAGTGGCTAGGATGACAGCCAAAGCAGATGATGATTTACACAAGAGAAGTGAGGCCTGAGAACACAAAGCCGGCCAGGGCTCTGGAGTGGGTGGAACGCACGGACTGAGTCACCATAAGTGGACAGGGAAGAGAACCCTTATAGGGTGTGGGGGTATAGCTCAGGGGTAGAGCATTTGACTGCAGATCAAGAGGTCCCCGGTTCAAATCCGGGTGCCCCCTTCCCTGGCTACATTTTTACTTCCACAAAGGGGAGTAAGAGCAAACACTCCCAACCACAGTGCCACCAAAAAAAGACAAGGGACATGCTCAGCTCCTTCTTGTCCTAAAATAATTGTTGCATATTCCCAGGGAATCGGTAAAAGCCCCCTGAAGAACCCCTCCTGAGCATTAATTAACACAAAATTCCCCCAGGAAGTAATTTCAAATCTAATTGTAAATCTAGAGCTAAAGCCAGGCATGGTGGCACATGTGTAATCCCAGCTTTCTAGGAGGCTGAGGCAGGGGCCTGCAAGTTCAAACCTACCCTCTTGAATTTAGTGTCTTAGCAAAACCCTGTGTCACAAAAAAAAAATCAGTGCTGCAGATGTAGCTTAGTGTGAAGGGCCTGGGTTCACTCCCCAGTACCAGGGAAAAAATTTACTCCCAAAAGCTGTGAACACAATTTGGTTATCTGATGTATGAAAGAGTAAAGGCAAAGATGTTCTTTCCATGTGTATATTTTTTTGGAACCAGGAGTTGAACTCAAGATCAGATGTGTATTTTTTTTTTTTTTTTTGTACTGAGAATCAAACTTGGGACCTTGTGCTTGGCAGGCAGATGCTATTCTGCTGAGCTATATTTCCAACCCAGATGTGTATTTTTTTTTTTTTTTTGGTACCAGGAATCGACAGATGTGTATTTTTGACAGCTTAATAAAAAAGAAAGCCAGCTTAGTACACAAAGAATTACTACAAATTAAAAGAGGACAAGGGTCCCCTTAGCAGTCCATCTGGTGGGTGTTGACACATTCACACACGGCTGGCCAAGGGAGGGAATTTGCTGGAAGCTCTAGATGCTATTTGTCTTTCCAAAACACTTACCCACTTTTTCTATTTCTAATCAAAGCCACCTTAAAATTTGTCAGGCTACCTCTGTCTAAATCAAAGCACAGTATTAAGCGGAAGCTTGGGCTGCTGGGTAATGGGTAGCTGCCCTCTCTACAGGGTTGGGGGGCTCTTCATTGTTTAGGGTTCAGCTCAGAGTGCCTTTTTGTTGTTGTTCTTTGTTTTTTTGAGACAGGGTTTCACCATGCAGTTCAGGCTGTCCTTGAGCTCACTTTGTAGTCCAGGCTGGCCTCGAACTTGCAACCATCCTTCTGCCTCAGCCTCTCCAGTGCTGGGATTAAGGCAAGTGCCACCACACCCGGCGTTTTTTCTTTTAGTTTGAGACAAGGTCTGGCTAAACTGCTCAGGCTGGGCTCACCTTTCAATCTTCCTGCCTTGACCTCACAGGGCACTGGGATCATAGGTGTATCTACCATCACATCTGGCTTGCCCTCCATACTTTCTACAGTGAGAAGGAGCAGAGGTGCCATCATAAAATTGAGTAGATCAGCGAAGAATATTGAGCTTACAAGCAGAGGCGCACTCAGGTGGCTTTTGGATTTTCAACAAGCCACCAAAACAAATGGGGACAAAAGTCTTTAAAAAAAAGTGCTGTGCTCAGTGGTAGAGCACGTGTGTTCAAGACCCTGTAATCAATCCCAGCATCAAAAGGAAACTGGAAAATCATGCTGGAGTAACTGGCTTCCCTTCTTTTATTTCTGGAGTAGGGACTTGAACTCAGGACCTCACACTTGCCAGGTAGGCGCTTGTGCTGCTGAGCTATATTCCCAGTCATAAGAAGTTTATTTTGTTTTTTGTTTTCTTGGTACCGGGAATCAAACTCAGGACCTTGCGTTTGCCAGGTAGGAGCTTCCGCCTCTGAGATATACTCTGGCCCCATGCTGGAGTAACTGGATATATTCTCAAAAAAATCATTTCACACCAGATACCAGACACAAATATTAATTTGAGAACACAGACTATGAGGCTATTAGAGGAATACAGAACAAAATACCTTTCTAACTGAGAGACTAAGGTTTCCTAAACAAAAAATGATAGGCATAAAGAAAAATGCTGATAAAATTCTACATTATCAGCCGAGCACGGCGCTGGAGGCCTGTAATCCCAGCATTAGTGAGGCTGAGACGGGAGGATCACTGTGAGTCAGGGACAGCCTGGACTACACAGTGAGACTGTCTCAAAAACAACAAAATTAAAATGTCTATTTATTAAAATATACTAAGACAGGGCTGGGGATATAGATCAGTGGCACAAGTATCTGCTTGGCAAGCACAAGGTTCTGAGTTCGATTCCCGCTACAGAAAATAAAAGAAAAAAAATGTACTAAGACAATAGGGACGCCACAGAGCAGGAAAAACTATTTGTATTTATCAGGCAAAAAAACCTAGTGTTAGGAAAATGTAAAGAACTCTTACAGAGCTTGCTGTCGCCTGCCTGTAATCGCAGTTTCAAACCCAACACGAACAATTTAGCGAAACCCTCCCATAAAGTAAAATATAAAATGTTTTTTTTGTTTTGTTTTTCTTCCGGTACCGGGAGTCGAACTCACGACCTTGCACTAGCCAGGCAGGCGCTGTGCCGCTGATCTACATCCCCAGCCCCATAAAATACAAAATAATAACAAAATAAAACATAAAATGACTGAGGATGTAGCTCGACGCAAGGATCGTGGATTGAGTTTTCAGGACGGAAGAGAAGAAACAAAACATCTTACAAGTAAAGCCTGGTAAGAGCCGATTAAGGAAATGGGGGGCGGGAGTTTCTCAAGGTTTGGCGTGGGTATGATTGGGTAATTTGCTTCATGGTTTCTGTTTATCTCCGTTCAAAGGGCCTGAAGCAGGGAGACTGGAGGAGAGTCAAGTCCTGAGGGCCTGCGGAAAGCCATCTCGAAAACGGGGTGTGCACTGCACACGGCGGACGAACCCGGCCAAGGAGATCCTGACAGAAGGCTCCAAAACGCCACAGGACTCCGCCGTCACGTGATAGGGCAGCTGCGCATACGTCATCATCCCGCGACACAAACGCACCCTGATGACGCCACCCCGGAAGTGCTCTCTAGGCCGGGACTAGAAAGTCTCGGCTGCTTCCTTTCGAGAGCATATCTTGTGAGGGCGGCCGTCCGACGTCCTGTTTTTTCTTACTGTCTCTTCTGAGCCTCTCGACCCGCGTAGCGAGGACACATCGCCAGTACCATGGGGGGCGGGGACTTGGTAAGTGTGGGTTAGGGTTAAGCCTGGGCAGGGACCCAGTGGCGCTGGGGACGGAAATTGGCAGGGGTGGGGGGTGGCAGGAGGGGATGGTAACGAGTAACCATGGTAATGAAGCCTGGCAGTCATCCTCTCCTGGAGAGGGGACGGGTCCTTAGGACCAGAGGGATGGGGCTGGCACTTGGGAAAGCGTGCGAGGGTCCTGCGAATGGTGGCTCGTGATGTTTGTGTGCTGG